GTGGGGACGAGACCTCTTATGACAGGCCGTTTCCAACCAGGGCTGCTTCCTCCTTCACAGCCGGCCTATTCAAATAGCCAGGAGAGTTGGGCTGTTCGTCAGCATCACACTGATCCTAAAGGACCTTGGGCAGCCGACAAAGTCCTTTCCTTCTATGTTTTAAAGGAGAGCTGGGAACTTGGTTGCACACTTCGATTAGAGTTGCAGGAAGGAGTTCTGCGATGTGAAAGCTCAGAACCTAAATGACCTGCTGAGAAGCTGTTTTGACCTGAAATTGGGGCCTAACACCAGCCATGCTAGAGACTTAATGACCGGGACAACAAAAAACAAAAAACCCAAAACAAACCAAACAAAAAAATCTTTGGGGAGGCAGGGGCTGGGGAACCCCAGAGGGAAGGTAGAGAAAAGTGCTAATATAAGGGGAACAAATTTTCCCAAAATGCATTTCATTAAAAAAAAAGGACTGTCAAGCCCACCTCTTTCTTATCCTTCCAAATTCATGCTTTTTCAAAAGCTCCAACTTCACGGTTTTCTGATTGTGAATTCTAACCAAAGTGGGCAGAGCAGAGCTCCCATCAAAGGGAATGAAACTGGCAACCAGGGCCATGAGTCACTGAGGGAAGCAGTGGCAGGCAAGTGTGCCAGGATCCAGCAGTGAGCTGAGTTCTGGGCTCACACAGATGGGGTTCTCAAAGTGGCTGTGACAGATCCTTCCTCAGCTTAGACCACCCAGGGGCATCACCCAAACGTGGAGACACACTGAGGACAGCACGGTTACGAGTGGGCGTGGGTTTTTATTCTCAGTGCACAGCAGTACTGACTTCTGCTCGTCAGCAACAAGCTTTATCGGTTCCAAAAAAATTAAATCCCTTTTTTCTGTCTTTAAGAACTATTCTTCCTGTCTCAGTGGTACAACATAGTTGAATTTCAGATTTGCCAGTTTATAGCATTTTTTTTCTAAGAGCCATATAAATACATGCAAAAACATTGTACAGAGAGCTTAAATAATATCAAAATGCAAACACAGGTTGGGTGCACTGTTAAGCTAAACTACAAGTTACGGCAACACACACTGGGATACACACTGTTCTGATGTCACCATTGGCTTATTCATGTCATGCAGACCACAGTGGTTAAATCTTTTGGTTTTTTTTTTGGTTTTTTTTTTTTTTTTTTTTTTTTTCAGTAACTAGTATAGCAAGCAAGCACTGGTATTTTTGTATAAAAAAAAAAAAAAAAAAAAAAAAGAAAGAAACTCAAAATTCCTATCTGCGTGCTGATTTGAAAAGAACATAGATAGATTTGTTGGCACATATATATGGCATATTCACATATGGCATATATACACATGGGGAGAAAACACGAACCAAAGGCCAGCTTAGTCATGGGGAGCTCACCTCCCTCCATCTCTCTGAATCAAGAGGAAAGTGGACCGCAGGTCTGACAGCAGGGCTGGGGAAGCAAAGGACTGACATCGAACTCCATGGAAAGGTGTGTGGCCTGTTCTGAGGAAGGGGCTGGAATGGCTTAAGAACAGTGAGCATTTATGAATGCCTCACCCCCACCACTGAAGTGGGGTGGTCCCTTGTTATGAAACGTGAGGAAGTGTGTACTTTGTGATGGTATCATGGGCTGCTTCAATCATTAGGCAAGGAAGGCAGAAAAGAAAGGAAGCTCTGAGTTTGGTGGTTTCAGGGTAAACGTGAACTTGCCACACCCCTCTGGGTTCCCAGGAGTGAGGTAATCAATCACTCATATTTAACTGGTTCCCCTTTGAAGCTCAAAGAACCCACAAGTGCCAGAGGGATTTGTAGGTGGTCTTCCTACGGGAAGGAGCTAGCTCCAAGACTGTCAGCCAGGCTAGAACCAGCCTTTGTTTCTTCCATTTAGAGCTCTATCCCCCATCTTATATATTGCATGAAACCTTTCTAGAGGAGGGGAAGATGTATCAAGTCAGATCCTTGCATAAAAACTCACTAACGGAAAATTCCAGGGGTGAGAGGAGGTTAAAAAAAAAAAAAAAGCATAAAAAGTGCAAATCCCAAATCAGAGTATCTTTGCAGCCCAAGAGATGGTTATGTCTTGGGTACCACTCTGCCAGCTATTCATCAAGAAAACAAAATTCAACCAAGGCCTGTGAGCTTAATCACTGCTTACTAGAGGGCCTGGCGCCTCTCTCTACGGGGGGTGCATACTCATTTTCCGATGGTTGTCCCTTCTTGGTGGATGCTTTCATTCCCATCTATAGTCTACTGCCCATTTTTCTAGATTTATCAAGAGAGCAATCTAGGACAAGATTTTCCCCTTCACCCCATCAGACCCTTTTCAAATTCAAAGCACCATTTTGGGGGAAAGCTTTATTAACTTATGCCATATTTACTCACTGCCAGTTGGATCACTGAAACTGAATAGAAAAAACTTATATAAAAAACATGTGCACATAAACACTTGAATGTACTCAATTCCATATCAACAGAATTAATATTAAAAAAGTCTAGAACCCAACAACTTTTTTTCCCCTAAGTATAAAGATGGCTGTTTGGAGAAAGGAATTATGGTGTATTGGTTTTAAAACCAATTTCAAACATACTAAGTCACCTGTCATGTCGAACAGCTGGTTAAGTGCTTCATCCACAGGGTTACGTGACAGCACTTTATTTTAAATCTTTTAAACAAAATACATATGGCTGACTCAAAAATACCAGTTTCTGATCTAAAGAAAACTATATATTTTTTGCATAATATTTCTATTTTTTCTCTCCTACTATGGAAACTAGAATACACAAAAAACTGTTGACTTTAAACGAGTAGACACAAGCTCTCAGGAGTAACCTGTTAGGCACCACGAGAGTCTTTTGGGAAAAGGAATGGTAAAATAGCCTCCAAAGTTTGTTATTGGCTTGTTTTTAAAAACTGATCTGAGGTAATAAAAGACTTGACTGAACTAAATCTTCCAATGTACTTAATAAACATACATGTGAACACCTAACACCTTGTGTGAGCTGTTTTTCCTCCTCCACAAGCGTTTAAGACAGAGAAAAAAAATCACTGACACATGTAACTTTTTTGTAACCTTTACAAAACCCAAATCAAATTTGGTAGAATCTATAGTAAGGGGGATGACAGGGGGTATTGTTTCTTTACTCTTCCTACCTTGGACAGTTCAGGTGAAAGGATGAGGGAGGAGGCAGTCAGAAGAAAAGGCTGGAGAGGATAGGTCTGGGTCCCCTCGCTCTCACAAATGGACTTTTGGCAGTTCATAAGAGCCTCAAGCCCCATCTCTCCACTCTCATTGCTCTGTAAAGACGGGGGCAGGCTTCATTTATCCAATGAGAGAAGGGACTGGCAGACATGCGCGAACCCCTACACAGAAGAGCTTAAGTCGACATCAGCAGGGATAAAAATGGAGCTGCTACAAACATGGCTCCACCTTGTCCCATTAAGGAACACTTTGAAAAATCTCCTTGTGAAGTCCCCAGCTCCTGAGAGGCAGGTGAAAGGGGATGCTTTGGGCAGTGTTCAGGGAAAAAAGGCACAGGGCTTTACTGTGCAGCTGGCGAGCACGTTCTGGAGAGCGGCTGGAGTGGAGCATGAGAGAGAAAGGAAGAGAGGAAGCAGCAGCTTTTTGGGGTGTGTCTTTTGCTCCATTTAAGTCAGCAAAATATCAGCGGAGCCTCCCACTTAGGACACATATTTTCAGAATCAGAATATTTGAGAAAGGTCGGGACCTTTTCAGAGACTGAACAAGTTAGGGGACACCGTGAAGAACAGAATTACAAAACTGGAGGGAATGTCAAAGTTGATACCCAGCCACCTAAGCTCAAGGTTTTTGGTTTCTCAGATCCTGCTTGAATAGCCCTTTGGCCTCTCCTGGAGCTTCTCAACACTCACTCCTCCAACTACCAGGCTGTGCCCTGGAAGAGCCTTGGCTGACGAGCCTTGGTTTCGAAAGCAGCAGTGGTTCCCCCAAGGAGGACTTCACAAGAGTTGGCTTTGATTGTCTGTCTTGTCCTAGACCTGCCAGCTTCTGGTCCTCAATATTCCAAGTTCAGTTAGGAGGCAGGGTCATTCTCGATTCATTTTTTGCTGCCACTTTAGGAATATGAGAAAGCTCAGGCTTATGGTAAAAACTACTACCACACCTATGCAAGCTTTGTAGTCAAGGCTGATCTCCCTGGCACTTAGAAACCAAACAAGCCTGACAAGATGGCAGTTTAGAGGCAGATAACCTGACAATAGCAGGAACACATTCTTAACTATTCTCAGTGGCTTCAAAGGGACCCTGTTAGTAAAGAAAACGGATCTGCTCCTAGATAGAACTAAATCGAGGGTTCCACTGGGGCCAGAAGGGAGAATGGTCAAAGTCGACCCAATTCATCCGGGTCCTTTCCACTTCCTTAGAGTGAAGGAAAGGAAGACAATGGTCAAAAGATCTGAGGAGGTTTGACCGGAAGGGAGAAAGAGCGAGAGGGCTTTAGGTATAAGTTTTCAAGGTGGGAAAATTGTTTAAAAAACAATCACTTCTATCGGCTAACTCTGTACATTCCATTCCTGCCTCCGAATATTTCATCTGAGAACATTTGTCTCTCTGAACCCTCCACTGAGGTTATAAATGGCATAGACTCATAGGGTAAATCCAGAAGTCAGGAGATGGCAACGTATGTATGGATACTGGGGGAGAACTTGGGTTGGGTGGATGCCTAGAGGACTGTATCCTTTCTTTAAAAATGTCAGTCGATACATCCAAGAAGTAGAATCTACCATTCACTACCTGCCTGGGGTTTAAGACTCAAGTTTAAGTCAAAATCCTTGTAGGTCTATTCTCTTGCCTCTTCATGGTCAGGTGGCTCACATATACTTGGGAGCAGCTGACATGACAGTGAAAAGCCCCCTCATCACCTTACAGATGGGAGAGATGAACAAGAAATAGGAAAAGCAGGAA